GATAAGTGGTTATTCCACAGGAATAGATAAGTGGCTGTCAAAAGGAGAAATCAAGGCTGAATTCACATGAGATTTCTTTTTTTTGAGGGGGGTGACAAAACTGTTCTGCTTTTAGACAGTACTGCCCATTGTATAATGTAGCAAATATACTAAAATCTAGAACTATATATACATTAAAATGGGAATTTCATGTATGAATTTTATCTGAAGAAAATTCAGTTATAAATTCCATAATTATAAAATATATAAAAATACTTCCAACAGTCTTCAAATATCTCAGATACCAAACTTAATTTGGAGTGGCGAGGGAGATTTGGGATTTGTGAACACTTCTAGGAACCAACGCATCTCTAATGAACCATCTCTTTTTTTTTTTTTTTTTCAAGGTTTGCTCACAGATTTTTATGAGGAAACTAAGTGATGGGCAAGCTTTAAAAGACAGTTGGGAAAGGTAAAAAGCTTTGGTCCCATCTTTCCATTCGTGCTCCAGGGAAGTGGCTCTCCAGAGTAACCTGTCTGTGATGACTCCTGGAAGTGACTGCCGTGTCCTGATGATGGCTTTTGTTAAGGGATCATGGTCAACTTGAGCCTATTTAAAATACCATTTCCCAGGACTTACATGCTACTTCTTGAACAATGGGAATACTCAAAGCTTTTAGAGGAAATAAACTATTGAATGGTCTCTGACTACAAACAGGCTACAGTTCACTGGAAACAGCCAGTTCAAATAAATAAAATGAAAGCAGATGCTTTTGGAGATGGCCTTGAAAGCTTTCCATTAGAGAACAGATCATGTGTACGATACATGAGCAGAGGCCACCCTCTCCTTTATCCTGAGAGACAGAGTGAGTATTCATCTCCTCCAGTGGACAGCAGAAGTTTCAAGGAACCTGGCAAACATGCTATTGAGGAAACTTGGTCCCCACTCCAGGCACAAGCTAACCTTAACTCAGCCCAGTTCATCTGCTGTGGATGCCTTTTCTTTGGCTGCCAGTTTTGGCAAGGATCTTCTAGATTTCTCACCATTGGCTCAGTCCTATTCAGTGATACAGACTAGAATTTAATGACCATAGTCCAATCCAAGCAAACCAAAGTTAAAGGGAGAGGAAAGGAGTGACAGACAGTGGAGGGAAGTGACGGTGTTGTCTTTCCAGACACTCAGTACCAGGAGCGTGCAGAAGATGACTGTCACGCCTCTGCTCTGGGTAAGATGGGAGCATGAAGAAAGGAAAAGAAGCGTAAGAAGTTGTGTGTTAGAAGATGTACTTTGATGTTAACAATGTTTCCTAATTTGGCTGATAAAGCTAATTTATATACATTTTTGTTAAAAGACATATCAAAGACTGGCATTTGGGCATATGTATTTGGGAAAATCCAATTCAAGCTGAATTACTCCAATGTACAGACCTTTCCTGGACAGAATCTAATGTGAGAATAAAGTTTGGGTTCAACTAAGGGCTCAGGGGATAAATATCAGCAGTTACTCAGTTATTTTATTTCATTTCCAATCAGTTCTTAGAAAAAATAAGGTCAATTATCACCATTTGTTTTTCTGTTTTATGAGTTCTTGAAAATCTTTAACACATATTAAGTAAAAATACAAAAAATACAGGATGGTAACTCATTCATCTGAGATGAATGCATACTGTTTAACCTGCTATAAGGGCTCTATGAGCTCTTGGCAACTAGATAGGTTCTAAATATATAACACAAAACCATTGACTGTTGCAGTCACGAAAGCTATTAACTCCCATAAAATTAGGAAGAATTCTAAGTTAAGTAAAAGCAAGCCACGATGCATTTTCAAATACACACACAGCTCAGCAACTGTGCTAATTCCACCAGAGCAAACTTCTCCGAGACCATACTGATACAAAAATCAAACACTTACATTGATATATTACATGTTAGGGCCCAAATTTTTTCTCAGTGATAGTAGGTCTGTGATGTGAAAGCACAGAGGAAATCTCCAGAGAGGATGGTTTTCTATACAAATATCTTACTTTTTTGAGCACTGGTGTGAAAATTTAAGGCCTGGGGTTTTCTGTTGCTCTGGACTAGTGTATGTGTCAAAAATGGGCATTCCTTGCCCCATAAAAGTGCCACAGGAGCATAGAATTCTAGAAGCAGCTTTTATGTATTCAATGAATATTGATAATACAACTTTAATATTTAAAGATTTTAAATTATTTAAAAATATTTACATATTTATTTTGTGTGTATGAGCACAGGTGTACATATGTCACAGCATGTGTGTGGCGGTCAGAGGAGAGCCCTCAGGTATCTGTTGTCTCCTAACAAGTTGTGAGATCTGGGGACCAAAGTCAGGCGGTGCGCTGAAACCATTTGCAGTCTCACAAACGATCTTACATATACCTTCTCTTTCAGTGACTATAAACGTTTGGTTTTGAATATGTATTTCAGAAATGCCTACGAGTTCTACGTAATTTGCCTCAGAAATCGGAAAAAGGCTGTGAAGTTTTCTGAAGTGAGTGGGACTTTAGTGGCAATAAACTAAAAAGTTGAAAGGAAAGGTCACTGTCCCCAGGTATGTGTGCAATTCTCTGGTGGGGATATGGTTGAATGTCTGAGTTCTCTGCACTTTCCATGGCAGGGCTTTGTTCAACACTGACCCTCATGTCTGTTCTTTCCTCAAGGGCAATGCTATCTTCATCAGAAAGTGTCTGAAGCTTTATGGGCAGAAGGTGGGATGGAATACCAAATATAATTACACCTTAGACAAGTGAGTGGGGTTTATTTTAGTGTGACATGTATTTAAATTGTTTTCCTAACATGCTTAGTATTATTTATTTTAGATGAGTGATAAAAAGACAGAGTTGTAAATGAAATGGGCTAACAGCTAAACAACAGGTTCCCTAGGGGTAAGTGTTAAAAGCTAAAAGGGGCTTTCTGCAAAAAGAAATAAGAAATAAAGAAACATGTACTAAGATGGACTTCTTAGGAGCTCGTGTAAAGGATGAAGAGAGGCCCCTGACACCTGAAGCTGCAGAGAGCAAGCCGACTGGTTGGGAACTGTGAAGGGCACCTGTGGCAAAAGTTAGAGTTATGATGCAAGCTTTCAAAACCAAAACACCTACAAGTCCCTGGAGACGTGTACCCATAACAACCGATGATCCCAGAAGCCAGAGGACTGGCTCTTGAAATGACTAAGCTGTCTACACATCAAAGCATCAATGGCTAGGGAGAAAGGTTAGCTCAAGCTGCAAGGATCAGGGCTTAAGAAGAGTGACAAAGGACACTTGTAAGATTATACATGGGAAAGTTAGTACACATAAAAGCGTACAACCAAAGCCAGTGATTGTTACACCTAACAAGGGTTGTGACACCCAAACCCAGAGGTTAAATGGTGCAAAAAAGAACCAGCTGTCAATATTATTTTGTCACATGGCGCCTTTATTAAAATCACACACAGGTTTCTTTAAGTGTTTAGGTTTTTAAATATTTTTGTGTATAAACTTGTTTGGATGTATGTACATGCTCATGCTGGTAAGCACGTGTATGTAGAGGTCAAAGGCTGATTTTGGTTGCCTTCCTCAATTGCTCTCCACTGTATTTTTTGAGACAGGGTCTCTCACTGAACCTGGAGCTCGTGGATTCAGGTAAGCTGGTTCCTCAGTGAGCTTTGGGGTCTACTTGTCTCACCCCCACCCCATACCCACATGCTGGGGGAACAGATATTACCACACCTGGCTCCTACATGGGTAGTGGGGTCTAAACTTATGCTTGCTCAGTGGGCATTTTGCTGACCAAAGCAGCTTTTCAGCCTAGAGCTTTGTTTATACACGGAATATATGAAGTTTAATAGTAGATTTCACTATTGTGTTTCTCATGCTTTATCTTATTCCTTGCTAAACATTTTGGAGATGTGCCAACAGTTTAATACAAAAAGTATAGGGCCTCATATGTCTTCAGTTGCAGAAGCAAAGTTCTGAGATTACTGTTCATACCTTTAACATGTCAATTCAAACACTGCTTCCCTCTTGGCATAATAAATTACAAAAGTACAGACAGTTGTCTATGGCATGATATTGTAGGTAAGCACAGTTATTGATATTTTTTGTCAGTGACCAAAATATTTACACATTTAATAAAGTAGAAAAGCCTTTTAAAAATTAATAAGGTATTTTTCATGAACTGCCAATTCAACCGGAACACTGAATAGTAGAAATAACAAAAGATTTGTTCTTAGGGTTGATTAAAAATTTATATAAGAGCATTCAAGTAAAGTTATTTTCTGTGTTCTGATTTAATGAATCATGTGAGTCTTATCTGGTTGGGTGACACAGATTCTGGCTCACTGAAGCCTACCTAATCCTTCCCACACACCTGGGGACAGGGAAAGCACATGTCAGACCAAAGCCATAGCTTTGTGTGTGTGTATAGACACTCTGAGGTGAGCATTCCTTAGTTATCAATTGTCTATGGGCTTCAACACCTACACACACCCAGCAGCAGCAGTGATTAATCATGCTGAAAAACACTATACCCAATAAATGCCTCTAACCCTTTTGTAACTAGCCTAGAAACCACCAGTGGTTTCTTAAAAGATGAGTAGGTTTTAAATGTTTTATGTATACTTGACTGGGTAGTATTTACTTTAGCTACTTTAAACCTGTTAGATTTAAAAATTTACATTTAGAAAATAAAACTTATTCACTACTATTTAAGACAAACTATGTCAAAAAATGAAATATATGCAAAAACACCCATATTAACCAATGGCACTCATTCAGTCTTAGGAAAACAGGCATTAACAATGAAATGTAAGGGACTGTTGCATAAACCTGGCATATGGGATGTTCTCTAACGAAAGATAAATAATACTTAAGAGGACTAGATTTTCTTAAGATGGAAGAGATACAAACAAACAATTACAGCCTCTCAAAATATGGAAACACTATTCTCCAAGGCAGTGTGCAAACCAGGGACTGTCCTGACCCAACTGTTCATTTAGAGATGGAATCTGAATGAGGACTTACAGTGTCAGCAATACCACAGCAATTAAAGTCCATTCCACGGGCTTGTGTATGATGTTCTGATTTGACAATCTGAAAGACATCAAGATTTATCTTGAATTTTAGTTCTTGATAAGAATTACAATTTAATGTGTCAAAGAGGTTAACTATTTATTTGCTTTTTCAAAACAGGATTTCTTTGTGTAGCTCTGGCTGTCCTTGATCTTACTCTACAGACCAGGCCGGCATTGAACTCAGAGATCCTCCTGCCTCCTGCCTCTGCCTCCTGAGTGCACCACCACTGCCCAGCTAAGAGGTAGTTCTAGATCTTAGTGTAACTAAGACTGTCTAGCACTTCTTGATCTCAGCCTGGTTGGTAGCAGGCAACTAAGAGATGCCATAATTTATAGAACGTGAGTGCTAGTTAGTGTAAGAACAGGTCTTTGCTAGAGAAAACTTAAGCTTTTGGCAATACCTAATAAATCACACACACACACATATATATATATGCATACATACATACATATGTACTTTACATCTACATAAAGACTTAAAAGTATGTTCACTTATGTGTAATGACCTACCAAAATCTTTAGCCAAATACTGCTTATAATAGAGGGAAATAAATTGTAGCATATTTAGAGTACTGAATAGCCATGATATGAATGACCTAGATTTATATATACAAGATAATGATTTTGTGAATGAAACCAAATATGGCCTGGCATCGTTTTTTTCACTAATCATGAATGACTAACACTAAATATTGTCTGAACACATACAGAAAGCACAAAAGTGACACATGCACTTCACAGTTCAGGTGCTCACACTGTCTTCCTCCAAGCACCTTTGCAGAGACAAATGGCCCAGCCCCTCTGTCCCCCGGCCACCCCTAGCCCAATATTCCCAACCTCCTTGTATCACCTGTTTATCCCAGGTGCCCAGAACAAGTAGTTTAATATCTGAGTGAAACTTTATAATTTAAAAAACCTATTAATTTGTTTTATCAATCTGGATTTTCTCTATAGTTTAAAATGTTTTTCAAAATTAATAAAAAGCCTAGCTATAAAAAGGCAGCATGGTGCCGGGAGTTGGTGGTGCATGCCTTAGTCCCAGCACTTGGGAGATGGAGGCAGGTGGATCTCTGTGATTTCGAGGCCAGCCTGGTCTACAGCGTGAGCTCCAGGACAGCCTCCAAAGCTACAGAGAAACCCTGTCTCGAAAAAAAAAAAAAAAAGCAGCACAGTATAAAGTCAGCTAACGTAGATATTAGCCCAGCCCTGTCACTGGTGCTGTAGATTCCAACACCTGCTAATAATATAAAATGTTAGGCTGGGTGTGGAGGCGCACACCTTTGATCCCAACACTGGAGAGGCAGAGGCAGGGGAATTTCTGTAAGTTTGAGGCCAGCCTGGTCTATAGAGCTATTACAAGGCCAGCCAGGGATATATAGAAAGTCCATGTCTTTAAAAAAAAAACAAAAAAACAAAAAAAACAAAACAAAAAAAAAAAAAAAAAAAACCAAAAAACTTTTGAACAACTGACACAGAAAACGCGACAGAACTGGGATTACAGACAGCTGTGAGCTACCATGTGAGTGTTAAGAACTAAAGTCAGGTCCTCTAGAAAGGCAGGCAGTGAGCCATCGCTCCAGCCCCATTTCCAGGTTTCTTTATTTTGTTAGTGTGCCTATGATGTGTGCAGAGTGTGTGTGACATGGTGAATGTATGTGCCATGTATGAAAGAGGTCTGCGTACAACTCTGTGGAGCTGCCTGGCTTCTTCCACCTCCATGTGGGTAGGGGTCAGACTCATGTCAACAGGAGATTCATGTCAACAGGCTTGCACAGCAAGTGCCCTTTACCTGCTGAGCCTCCTTGTTGGCCATTTTCAGGCTTGCTCCTAGCCCTTTATTCAAATGCAGCCCTTGCTGCTGTCTCCCCACCAGATGATCTAAAATTGAAATGTTCTCACTCTTCAGTACCACCTTTTCTCAGAAGAAATGGAGAACATACTAGAAAAGTGAAAAGAGTGTATGCCACATAGTAATAAATTACACTAAAACATGCATAAACTCTCTGGTAGGATGAAGTACCAAGAGATAAGGGCTTTTCTGTTCACGGTCATCCTGTAGCAAATAAAATGGAACTCAACACATAACCATGAAGAGCTGAAACAGCAGGATAAGCACAGACATAAAAATGACAAAAAACAGTGTAATGCAGCTGCTCTGGTCTGGGTGGGATTTTTGCTTGTTTGTTTTTAAGATGGATCTGACTATGCAGCCCTGGGCTGGCCTGGCCTGGAACTTACAGTCTGGCCTGCCTCTGAGTACTTGGATTAAAGATGTGCACCATCAGGCCTAAAATTCTGTTTTGGTTTTTGTTGTTGTTCTTAAACCTCTCAGTTAACATATACTTAAGATTTCGTGAGTTCATTCTGTCATTTAGGAAAAGAAATGTACCATGTAATTTATAACACTGTATAAACTACCACTGTATAAACTTCCACTGGGGAAATACAGTAAGAGGCTGTCCTAGTTACTGTCTACTGCCGTGACAAAGCACATGACCAAGGCCACTTACAGAGAAGTATATTGGGGCCAGGGTAAGGCCAGGACACTAAGGCAGGGAGCATAGCAACAGGCAAGCATGGTACTAGAGCAATAGCTCAGAGTTCATATCTGTTCCAAAAGCCGGGAGGGGAGGGGGCGGATGAGAGAGAGGGAGGGAGTGGGGAAGGAAAGAGAAAGGGAGAGCAGAAGGAAGGGAGGGAGGGAGGGAGAGAGACAGACAGAATGAGCACATGCACTGGGAATGGCCTAGGCTTTTGAAACCTCAAAGCCCACCACAGCAACACATTTCCTCCAACAACCTCCTAACCTTCCTAAAAAGTTCTACTAACTGGAGACCAAGTATTCAAACACATGAGCCAATGGGGGTCATTCTCATTCAAACAACCAGAGATTTTGCTTTTGTCTCACAGTATTTCTATTACATTAGCAGAATAGCAAAGGTCTACTTGTTTTTATATTGCTGATCCAAAAAGTCTCTAGCATACATGCTAAATAAATATATTTACTACTAACTAATACTTAAAGAAATCTAAAGGGGCTGGAGAGATGGCTCAGGGTTTAAAAACACTGGCTGTTCTTTCCAGAGGACTGAGTTTCAATTCCCAATACACACAATACACATATTTAAAATTTACACACATTTAGAAAAAAGTCTTGATTCATCATAGATGCAATTTCAAGAGGATTTGAGTGGCAGAAGAGAGTAGGATTTCAATTAATATCTGCTCAGACAAGCATCTTGACCAGCTGGCTGGAGTCTGTCCTGTGCTGTGACTGGTAAAACAGACACAGCCCAACTCTGGTTTGGGTTTGAGTGGGGGTCAGGGTGGTGGGCAGCTCTTTATTCAGGCACAAAAGGTTCTTTGGAGAGCCCTAAACAGGCTCTCAACTCTGCATGCTGGAATCACCTAGGGGGCTTTTAAGTTATCCTGCTGTCTGAGCACAAACATAACTAATCAAAGGAGACCTGGTCTCCAGGGGCCAAGCCACATATTCATAGCTACTAAATGGCTTAGGAATGGCTGTTCTACAGGTTCTTAGTACAGGAGATCATTTTAAAGAGAAAACCGCACTTATTTCTGTCTCCTCTCTCCCACTATCAGTACTCACTGAAAGCAGTTCTCCACACTAGTCATTGCTAGCAGAAGCCACACTTTCTCATCCTCCCTGGGAACCCTGACATATCCTTGAAGGTCATCAGGGAAACTTAAAGAGCTACAGACTCTGACTGTGGCTTTAGAGGACAGACTGCTAAAAATAACTTACTCAACACCAAGTTGTCTTGGGAGCAGAATTCTATAGTATCCTCTACCAAGATGTTAACTTTTGGGCTTGGTTTTCACAGATGTCTTTTAAGTTTCAAGCATCTGTAAAAGTATAGAAAGCAAAACTAAGCTCTTGTATACCACTACTTATTCTGACGACAACCAACTCCTACCAACCATGTTTCACGCTCATAGTCCCATATTTATTACCACCCCTACTAACATGATGAAATGATGCTACTGACTTCAAATTTATTTATGTCTTTAATGAAAAATGTAATCGAGAGGAATCTAGCTACAAAACAGGGATGACAGAAAAAGTGACAAAACAAGTTTGTACATTAAAATGGACAAATCAAAGTCTCTTCATAGCTGCAGTTTCTTGTCCTGGCTAGCTCAGGTGTCAGGAGAATGAAGCATGATGGGTAATGGGAGTTACATAGTAGATTCCTTACAAAACTCTCCTCAGTAATCCCATTAGGCTTTTCGGGTTTTTTAAGTTTTTGTGAAATTACTGGTTCTTAACCTAACACCCTTGGAAGTATTCAAGGATATCCCAGCTGTTCCTGTAATGTGTGTGTGAGGACAGCACCAGGAAAGTTGCCATTGAGGGAATGGAAGCTGTGATACAATTAAAATGACTTTGGGGGTTTCTCTGTGTTCTAAGGTCAAAACTGGGCTTCATGCATGCCAACCACATAATCCACCACTGAACAACACTCCCAGTCCACATAGCAGACTGACTACATGTCAGTTCTTCATGAGGGTTCCTGGAAGAACATCCTTCCCAGCTGCAAGGCAACTTCCTACCACAGACATGAAGAACTACTGCTGCAGCCTTTCCTAAAGTTCATCACATGTGTGATGATTTTCCAGCTTTACTGAGGCATGATGGGTAAAACTGTATGTGACTACACATATTTATGGGAAGAAATCTGGGTGACCAGCACACCCCTCACCTTATGAAGTCTCTCTCTCTCTCTGTCTCTCTCTGTCTCTCTCTCTCTCTCTGTGTGAGTGTGTGTGTGTGTGTGTAGCAATAACAAGATCCACTCTTTTAGCCAATTCTAAGCCCATGGTGGAATACATGTGACTAATAAATGTTTCCCACAGCAGCTGGTAAGGTGCTTAAGGAACAGACTGCCTCTGAATGTGTGTTCAGGGCCTAAACCTGGAAAATAGACTAATACTGCTGAGTATGTGTTTGCTGTGGAAGAGTTAAAGCTACAGGAGGAGGGGAATAAAGAAGGAAGAGAAGGCAAGTGGAGGGAAACACTGGCCTGGGAGCAGACCTGGCCTCACTCTACAGTTCTAACAGGCAGCTCACAGTCTAGCTCCATCTAGTGAGTCAAGTCAGACCAGTATTACATCCTGGATTCTTCTCTCAAGCTCAACTAAGTTAAGTTGCCTTGTTTCTCTGCTTTTGTTATGATTTGCCAAATTTGTGATTGTTGAAAATAGATGCATATGGTGGAATAGAGACAACCCTGACACAGCAGTGAGGACCCTGTGTGTGTGTGTGGGGTGGGGTTGGGGGGGATGGTCAGAGGACAATTGGGTTTGGTGCCTCAGGTGTTCTAAGTCAAGGTCTGCCTCTGGCCTGGAACTTGCCAAGTAGCCTAGGCTGGCTGGTCAGTCTCCACGTCCTCAGTGTTGAGATATTTAGCATACACAACCATGTTAGCTTTTTTCATTTTTTTTTTTTTTTAAACTGGCTTTTAAGGACTTGTGGTTTGAATAGGAATGACCCCCATAGACTCATGTGTTTCAATGCTTGCCCATGGGGAGTGGCACTGTTAAGAGGTGTGGCCTTGTTAAAGGAAGTGTGTCACTGTGGAGGACGGCTCTGAGGTCTTCTGTGCTTGTGCTAGGTCTACAGGGATTGTGTCCTTCTGCTGCCTGTGGATACAGATGTAGATATCTCAATTACGTCTCCAGCACCAAGTCTGCCTATGTGCTGCCATATTTACCACCATGAAAATATGGACTAATCCTCTGCACTGTAAGCCAGCACTTGAATTAAATGTTTTCCCTTTGTAAGAGCTGCTGTGGTGGTGACATCTTTTCACATTACAAGGTCAGCATTCTACTGACAAAGTCATCTCACCAGCCTGTAAGTTTTCCTCCCAAGTGCAGTTTACTTTATAAGCAAGTTATCTAAAGTAAACATATGTCAAAATATGAGCCAAAAGCAGTTGTATTCAATAGAAAACAAAAAGTAATTTTAGAGGAGGAGAAAACAGCACTGAGTTTACAATGTGGTTCCACAAAGACAAGCCATGTACTTCCCTGTCTTAGTCTACTTATGGACTGTGCAAGCATCAGTACGGCAAATAACAGAGAAAGAAAAAAAATTACAACATTAACACTAACCTGAAAGTCTGCACAAGGTTTTTAAGTTCAGAGTAAACATCACCTATTGTAATCTGAAGAGGACCCAAAAGTCTAGGCAATCTGAAAAGAAAAAACAAACAAAAAACACTATACATTATTTAAAGCTAGAACTTCACTGTTCTGTAGAAACACTTTGGTGGGCATGCTTGCTCTGTGTTCCCATGGTGACACTGGGGTAGAAGCTACATTATGACTCCTGAGGTGTCAAATCATTCTCCTAAATCCAGCTCTGCATCCATGCTACAGAGTGTAAAGCCCTGCAATGCAAACCACCCTGGCTGCTGCCTGTGCCTCTTTCTGTTCCTAGTTTTTGTTGTTGTTGTTACTGTTTTTTACATGAAGAGCAACCTGTTCTCACCTTTAATTCCATAGTTTTAATATGAAAGCATCATATATAAACATTGTATATAAACACTATCCCAACACACACAAGATGCCTATAGGTGATTTATATAACAGATACATTTAGTGATTTAAAATAGTACAGATTATTTTTTAAAATGGTAAATCTTGGGTGAAAATGCATATACCATATAACACATTTGAAGTAAAAATACATGATGCTCATTATACACAAAACACATTTCATTCCTTCTATAGTATACACCCTGTGCAGCATAAGGGTATGTAGCCTAGCCTAGCCTCAGACTTTCTATGTAGTTAAAGACAACATTCAAGTCCTTGTCCTGCTCCTGCCCTTCCCAAGTGCTGGGCCTCAGGCATGCAGTGCGCCTGGCTCAGATCCAACCTTTTAATACTTGTCATGTTAAAGTCCATTTTTCTGTCCCTTGCTTCCCCAGAAGTACTTTAAAGTACTTTAAACTCTTGACATTATGTCATTGGACTCTATTTTCACTCATCTCTCTAAATACAAAGGTGTTTTTTTTTTTTTTTTTTTAATATAACCACAATAACATCACCATGCCCAACCATTTACTTTTTTTCTGGTGTTTGAAAAAACTGTCAGCCCAGAGAAATGCATTTCAAAGCCCTTCCCCCAATCCCCTGGCTCTTAGAATCTTTACACCTTCTCTTCCACAGTGTCCCCTGAGCCTTGGTGGTGGTGGTGGTGGGGGATTGTTGCAGAAATGTGTCGTTTAGGGCTTGGCAGCACTCAGCCATCACCTCCATTAGCCAAGACATCTAGGAAATTATTTCCAGTGAAATCCCTACCTTCTATGTACCTGAAATGATAATCCATCCCACCATTCAAAACCTGCATAAACTAAGTTAAGTTTGATATCGTCGTGCACCGTTATCAGATAGGTGGCGACTTATACAGAATTATTTTACTGATACAAAGACAAGCGTAAAGACTAGTTAAACAACAACAACAACAACAACAGGGCTAGGGAGACACCTCAGTCAGTAACATGTTTCCCACACACAAGCATAAGCGCCTGTGGGAGGAGACAGGTCTCTCTTTGGGCTCAATGACCAGCTACTGTAGCCTAGTGCATAAGCCCTAGGTCCCAGTGGGATCCTGGCTCAATAAACAAGGTGGATGACTCTTTGGAAATAATATCCAAGATTGGCTTCTGGCCTCTATGCCCACATACATGGACCTGCATGCATACGAAGACATACATGGATTCTGTACATACACCCTGCACTCACACCCACACATTCACACAGCAGAATATTAATTTAAACATTTATTCAAAACAGTAATTCTTCTTGATAATTTTTTTCCTTTTTAGGTTGAACCAAGTCAAGAGTGTATGCCACATCAGGCATAGCAACACTTTCTTAATCCCAGCTCAAAGGCAGAGACAGAGGAAGTAGATCTCTGTGAGCTAGATGCTTCCCTAGTCTATACAGTGAGTTTCAGGCTGACTATAGTGAGACTATTTCCAAAAGACTACAAACCAAACCAACAAACCAATCAAGTAAAGATTGGCTTAGAAAATGTCTTTCAAAGTGAAGTAGTTGTACTTCCCATTATATCACCAGTTAACGTTTTATATCTTAGCTGCTCAAAAATATTATGCTTCCAGAAAATGGTTTTCCTCTTCAGAACACTACAAAACTAAGACTTATCTGTTCATAACTCCTTAAACAGTGATTGACAATGCAGGTTTAAAAGTTCAAGGTCTACCTTACACCTGTGGAAGAAAGATTTGGAAACTTTCTGTCTCGAAAAAAACAAACCAAAGCAACAACAACAAAACAGAAACAAGAGTAACTTTTAAGTGTTATTTGTGACTGGGCTAACTTTATGAACAATTTTTTTCCATCACAGGACGCTTCAAGCCAAAGTGCAAGCTGACTGACTGAACTCATGCTCTTGAGTGTGAAGTGGGCCTATGGTATGGTGAATTGACTGAACTCATGCTTGAGTGTGAAGTGGGCCTATGGTACAGTGAACTGACTCTACTCATGCTCTTCAGTATGAAGTGTGCCTATGGTATGTTGAACAGACTGAACTCATGCTCCTGAGCAAGTGTGAAGTGTGCCTATGGTATGCTGAACTGACTAAACTCATGCTTTTCAGTGTTAAACTCATGCTCTTCAGTGTAAAGTATGCCTATGGTATGTTGAATAGACTGAACTCATGCTCTTGAGTGTGATGTGTGCCTATGGTATGTTGAACAGACTGAACTTATGCTCCTGAGTGAATGTGAAGTGTGCCTATGGTATAGTGAACTGACTGAACTCATGCTCTTGAGTATGAAGCGGGCCTATGGCATGCTGACTGGTTGTGGCAGTGTCTATCGACATGACCATTCAACAAAGAGCTGAGCTTCTTTGGCTTGTTTCAAGAGCACTCTCTGTTTGCTGGTTTAGGACAGCATGGGGTATTTTGTTTTTCTACTCTACAGTCTCAGTATGATATCCCAGTGATATCTACAAAAATAATTTAGTACTGAAAGTATCTGGAAAGATACAATTTAAAAATGGAGAATTTTCAAATGAGAAAATTCACACAAGCTTTTCATATCAAAAATTGTTCAAAACATTCAGTTAATTTAAACCTCTCACCAAGCCAAATGACCCATCCATACTTACACTTTGCTCAATTTTTCAAGTACAATCCGTTTTCTAATCTGGTTCTGGGAACTTGAATCAATCAGTGGGAAGCTGGGATCACGCCGAAGCACATTCTTAAACAAAACAAACAGAAATAAAGTGGTATTTTCTTTTTTTTTTTAATGAGCAGAATAACATTAAACAGAAAAGTTCACTCCTCTAGTATAGAAACAGACTTAAGAATTAAAACATTTAGTCACCATTAGGAACTTGCCTGGTCCCTCTGCCCTCTTCTGTCACCTCTATAAAATGCTAGATAATAATAAATGTACATAATAGATGTACAGTTAAGGGTTAACATCAACAATACTAGAATTCATTCCTGGGAAAGTCCTGTTTTCAGAAAAGATCATTCAAATGAACTAGGAATGACAAAGTTGAAAAGAAAAACAAAACACAATAAACCCACTTTGTTTGTTTGAAAGCGTCGAAACAGTAAGGTAGTACAGAATTTGGGTTGACACCCTGGAGAGGGTAACTCAGGAGAGTGAGTGCATGGGCTAACCCTGGAAGAGGTGCTTTTTTTTTCCCCCCCTAACAGAAACCTGAGCAGAGTTTTTCTAACAGAAATGACAGGTCAGGCCATGCCAAAAGAGGGCTATACGTAATGCTCCCCAAATGGAGAAAGACTCGGAAGGAGCACACTCTGGGATGGAATAGAAGAATGACCTGTTGCCATCACTAAGTTACTGCAATTCCTCTCATCAGGTTATGTCAATGTGGGATTGCTGGAAGTCTTATGAGAATCAAACAGATCTATCCCAGAGGATAACAATATCCTGCGTCTCAGGTTAGGGTCTCCTATGTGCATCAGACCTGCTCAAATTCATGATCCTCCTGCCTTAGCCTTTCAAGCACTGGGATTATAGGTATGTATTACTAAGCTCAGTTTGCAACACTGATATAAAATGTTTGATATCTAATAAAAGATAATATAGTAAGAATCAGGAGCCTATTGAAGCCAAACTCTCAGGAATTCAGATAATAAAATTATATTACTGTTAAATTATATTCTGTATAAGCTATATAAAGTTAACATCTTCAAAGAAAAATGACAGTTGAAAATTCTAGCAGACAACTGGAATTATATGAAAGAGCCAACGGACCCTCCAGCAGTGAGCAACACAGCATTTAAAAGTGCTCATTGGACAGGGGAAGCAGAGCCACATTCTCCCAGGTGACTTCATAGCCGGTGTCCATCATGAAGCACAATCCTGGGGCTAGCAGTCATGGTAGCTGGGCCTCTGACAGAGGTGAGGAAGTTATGGACATTTTCTTGTAGAAGGCCTACACCAGAGGTTCCAGCCCTACTTCCTTCCCTCTGGCCTCCCAGCTGCATGTGGTATTGGTGGCTGGTGTTGGGAACAGTCTCGGTGATCACCCAATGCATGACTTTTCAGCCATGCAGCCATGGCTACCCAGTATGTCAGTGATCCTAACATGCTCAGTCTTACAAAGCCGGACCTGGACACACTTTCCTTGGATTGTTAATCCCTATTCAAGGTGAAGAGACATTTTTTTTTCCCCTCATGAGTGTCACACAAAAGATAGGCTCAGAGCTCATGGGACGTAGCCCTCCCAACCCAGGGGACTGCTTTACTTATGCAATGGCATATTCCTCAGTAATGAAAGAATGAACTACAGGGATACACACAACAGCACAAACAGGTAAAAATCAAACCAGACCAAACAGTATTCTATGAAACAACCTGGATAGTAAAGAATACAGTCTGTTCAAAATTGGCAAAAGTAATCTCTATCATAGGATAGTAATTCTGGGAGAGGCAACAATCAGAGCAGGCACTAATGCCATCCAGTTTCCGTAAGCACCTCCTGGTCTGTGTGCTCACTGTAAACATTCAACAATCCATACCCTTACTGTTGAATGCCAAGGGAAAAGGCTGTAAATCGCTCTACAGCACAGACAGACTTCAGAAACTGGTTTATCCATTGTAAGGCTATAAGTGGTGGTAGGGCTTATGCGGTTCTCTGGAAGAGAACAATGTTTCTCTGAGCTTAATGCAAGTTTTGAATGCTATCTAATAATACTACTGTGGTTCCGAGTACGGGGTGAAGCTAGGCAAAAGTTCTGTTAAGATCCAAGAAATTTCTGTATTTTTCTCTTTCTACCTTGCCTCTCCAAATCTCCAAGTTTTGAATTTTTTTGTTTTGTTTTTTGGCTTTTTTTGAGACAGGGTTTCTCTGTACTGTTTTGGAGCTTGTCCTGGAACTAGCTCTGTAGACCAGGCTGACCTTGAACTCACAGAGATCTGCCTGCCTCTGCCTCCCGAGTGCTGGGACAAACGGCATGCACCACCAACGCCTGGCCTCCAAGTGTGTTTTTATTATTAGGGCAACATCACTTACAAATCTTTTAATAACAAAGTTTTATGCTAAATTAAGACTATTATCCACTCTTCTTTCCATGCTATGAGACTTCCCAGGCAGCACATATAAACCAAAAAACACACAATGGGAACATTACAAACTCCTTCCTACACTTCAGCAGTGTACACTCAGCCTTATGTATAATGACTTGAAGAGTTATGCCACATACTCTGAACAAATGAACAATGGAAGCTACTGAAAGTCCCATGTACAGATAAGCAGACTCAAAGAACTAAGTTTTTAAAAAAAACCAGCAGATGATGCGGCGGATCTCTGTATCCACTACTGCCCAGTAAGTCCCTTTACTACAGTGTTTTCATTTGCATGTGAGGTGTATCTTCACACACACGTGTGCACTCACGGGCATGCAGAGGCCATAGGTCAATGCTGCATGTATTCTTCTATCATGGTTCTTAGCCTTAGTTTGTAAATAGTCTCTCACTGAACTTGGAGCTGTTTCTCCTAGTTTGGCTGATCAGGGAACCCCTGGGACCCTTGTTTCTGCCCCTCCCCTTGCTTGGCAGTGGGTAACAGATGCACACCACCATGACTTCAGTTTATGAGAGCCAGGAATCTGAACTCGGCTCCCTAGGCTTGGGTAGAAAGCACCTTCTCCAATGAACCAGCCATGCCTGTAACATTTCAGATGGATGCTAACTGAACATTACCTCGGAATGTATTTAATTATCTACACACCCCCCAGATTTGCTTTGCTGAGTTCTCCAAATGTGAGCAGCCTTAAAAAAAAAAAAAAAAAAAAAAAAAAATTCATTGGAAGACATACCTCTCCTGGGTCCTGCAACTTGGTCATTTCTTCACTTAAGACATAGCGTCCTCTGTAGAACTCCCTGACCCTCAGGTTTAGCATTTTTGTTTCTTTTTTCAAGCTCTCGTAGCTTGGCACTGGGTTAATGGCCGTACCCGAGCCTTTAACGGATAGTGTATCATCCAGGTTGTTCTGAGGTTGGCTCGGGGCAGGACCACAACTACCTGCCCCACAACTTACATCATCTTCATCAAGTTCTTCACCAGGTACAGGGGCTAGGGATGGTTTTGGGCACACAGAGGAACGATCTTGGCCATACAGAAATGTCAGTGTTTCTTCTGTCTTCCATTCAGTCAAGGTGTCCTTTAGAATTCGAAGTAAGTTTGCCTTTGCAACCTCAGGGCATACCTGCACCGGGGTGGAGGCTAACCCAGAACCTTGGTTAGATTTGGCAAATTTGGTCCTGAAATGCTCAACGCTTTTCTTGCTAATCCCCACAAGAGTGACCTCTGACACACCTGTCCTGCCGTCAGGAACTGCTGAGGTGGGCAGTCCTTCACTTGGAGGGACGGGTAAAGAAATCTGAGCATCTTCTTTCTTTGAAGGAAATTTATCGGCTTTCTCCTGACTGCCCAATCTGCAGTCACCCAGCTGCTCAGTGACATCTGCCACAGTCTGCTCTCTGCACCTGGAGTCCACTTTCTGACCAGCTTTCCTTCTCTCTATGCTGCTTTCTCTGTGCGGCTGTCGCTTTCTAGCTGTTGCCTGTGCCCTGTTTCCTGGGAGAAGCGAGGACACGAAGCCTTGCTCATCATCACTGGTGTGTTCACTCCTCGTGCTGGGAGACAGTGGCTTACACTGTGCCTCATAGGCCCCAGGACTGTCGATGTCTGCTGCTGTAATGGCGTCGTTGAAGAATTGCACTACTTCTCCAGAACAGCCACTGTCCAAGAAAGATAATCAAACAGAGGACAATGGGAAGACAAATCATTTCCCACTTACATTCTGGAATTTTCAAGGTAAAAATTTCCATTCCTTAGACATAGCCTTACCTTTACTCTAATTTCTCCATATCTAATACATGTTTGATACAATTCTTTTCCAGATTTCCTTTGCCTGTTTCTACCAATTTTACAATTCCTTTTGGTTTTTGGAGACAGTTTCTCTGTGTAGCCCTGGCTGCCCTGGAACTCACTCTGTAGACCAGACTGGCCTGGAACTCAGAGATCCACCTGCCTCTGCCTCACAAGGCATGCGCCACCACCTTCTGGCCCCATTTTACAATTCCTCAAGAGGTATAGCAAACAAACACCATAACACTTTAAAGGCACTATCCTGTTCAATGATTTTTGTTTTTGTTTAAAAAAAAAAAAAAGCTTAATATTTTCTAGTTCTGGTTGACCTATACAGAAAATCCATGGAATGAAAAATACAAAAGTCATAAAAGAAAGTTAAGTTGGTACCAACATTTTTCAATGAAAGATACTCATCAGAGCTTTCCTACTGGGTGAGGGTGTGTGGGGTCAGGAAGCACACTGTGGGAAGGTGTGAAGAAAAGAACCAAGGAAGCAAGGAGCTGAGAGCAAGGCCCTAGTGGGAATGCAGAAAGGTGTCCAAAATTTTCGGCATCAAATAATTTCTTTTACCTAGAATCTAACTTACACCATCAGGCAAGTAATTGTTGCATAGGAAGACTGTTTAACTTCAAGAAATTAGAATGCAGGCTGAAAAGATGCCTCAGTAGTTAAGACCATGTGTTCTTATGGTGGCTCACAACTGCCCCAAACTCCAGTTCCAGGGGATCCAATGTCCTCTTCTGACCTCCCTGGGCAGACACTTAGGTACGTAAGTACATACATACATACATACATACATACATACATACATACATACATAAATATAAAATAATGAAACAAATCTAAAAATAGTTGGAATGAAACTTTCCTTTCATAGCTTTTTCTATCTCATTCTTTCTCTTGATGTTTTAAGGTACTTACATTTTATACTAGGTTAAAACCATAAAGGTATCATCAATAAGCAAATGTCTCTTATTGGTGCTTAATACCCTATGACTAAGGCAGGGACTGATGACCAGAGACATTTAATTGGAGAGTGGAAAGAATCTGTTGTAAGAGATGGCTGCAATTAAGCAAACTAAGAGCTATGAGGTGGGGTTAGGAAAAACAAAAACCCACAACCTGTATTTATATTAATATTTTAGATATTCTTTCAAATAATTAATAACTTAAAATCCTGTAAGACCACAAAACCTGTTCTCAAATATTATGGGCACAACCTCACCAACAAAGGAACAGTATCTGAGATGAAGGCTGTGTTTGTGTCTGTTTCAACAGGTCCTATTAGACTCTTCAATGGGACATCTGTACAATAAATCAGACAGATCAAACAAATCATCTTTTCCTAAAAAAAGACAATGCTGAACATGTCACATGTTTCTTTGTACCACACCAACACAGGAAGTCTATCAGCTCACGCCACCTGGCCCACTCAGGTCGGTGAAAGTGATTTGAACGAACCTTTGTCCTTCCTTCAGCAGCTGAAAATCAGGAGGCCTGGGACAAAAAAAAAAACACAGAGGGAACTGAAGGCAACTGACACATCAAACACGTTCAAGGGTTTACTTTAACTCTATTGCATAGGAAATATAATTAAAGAAGTAATTCATAAAAGATTTTTTTTCTTTAGAAAAAGTATTTTACAAAATACTGTAAAATATATGCAAAAAAAATCTGGATTCAGTGTTTTGTTTACCTAAAATTTACTCATTTTCAGAATTAAATTTAGATTCACATGCACCCCATAGTTTCCCTTGACCAATGTGAACAAATGCAAATCACCCTCTTTGATAAATTCCAGTCACTGTCAGCTCCAGTTAATCAGATTATTTTGTTTATTAGCAGAACTGTTATCTAAATGTTTTATTGAGCACATGTTTATGTTCTCTTAACATCCACCAGCTCCTTGAGAGCAGAGACTATATTGCAATTCTTATCCTATCAACCTAACTGCAGAGACAATAATTATGTTGGACTATGGCCTCTTTTTTTTTTTTTTGAGACAATCTTACTATATATTTCTGGTTGGTCTTAAACTCATAAAAGTCCAAAGCTGGGACTAAAGGTGCCACCACATTTTGGGCATTAATGTATGTGCACTGTGTGTGTGTGTGTGTGTGTGTGTGTGTGTGTGTGTGTGTGCGCGCGTATGCAGTGCCTGGAGAAGGCAGAAGAAGGTGTCAGAAAAGTTGGAGTTGGAGTTATAGATAGTTGTGAGCTGCTATGTAGTTGTTGGGAACTGGATCCTCTGCAAGAGCAGCAAAGCTCTCTTAACCATAGAGCCACCTCCCTAGGCTCTGTACAAATCAAGTAAGGTCAACTTAATTCCATGAACAATTTGGTTACACAGTTAGAAATCTTACCATCATGACTACTGAAAAGACAAGAGCTCTTCAAAGTGAAATATAAATGATGAGGAACCCACTATGGAGACATTATTTAAAGGCCCAAACAAGGGTGCACTGTTAAGTGCATGAGAGATACATGAACAGAAAGTCAGAAATGATGTTGAGCCAATCAAGGAAAGATAGAAAGGAACAATTTCAGCTGGTCTTACACAGTTTGTAACTAGAGATATTTGAAGTTAAACCTATGACTCTTATTCCACATGCCTTTCTTTTTTTAAAACAGGTAATCATACTTAAATCTACCCCCCTCTTAACATGCAAACACACCCCTGTCCTTTGGAAGTCTACAACACTAACCCCTTTTGTTGTTAGTTTTCTTTAAAGAAGTCTGTTGCAAGGTTAAGAGCACTGGCTGCCCTTACAGATAACAGAGTTTGATGTTAGCAGGACAAGATGGCCCACAGCCACCTGTAACTCCAGTCCCAAGGAATCTGTGTGCTCTTCTGGAGTTGAGGGCATTGCATGCACATGGTACACAGGCAAACAAGCAGACATGACACCCAAACACATAAAGTCTGCACTTGTCATGTTCGGTTCCTTAATCTGTCATCCAGTTATCAACCTCTTGTCTCCTGGAATCTATACCTATCACTCGTTTTAAATGGTTTTTGCTGACACCACCAATAACCTTTTTTTTTGTTGTTGTTGTTCTTTTTATTTTTAAAGTAGAGGGAAGCGAACCAGTCTAAAAGTAAAAAGAATGGACTAAACATAAAGGCAGGCCTGGGAAAAAGAAAGAAAGATTAGTAAGCAAGAGCAGAGCGGTGTGTCTGCAATGCAGAGAGAGAGAGAGAGAGAGAGAGAGAGAGAGAGAGAGAGACAGAGAGACAGAGACAATGCTCACAGATGCCATCTCACATTTGAGCACAGTAGTAGGTTAAAATAGATTGGAGCATGGAGGTCAGGCTCAAAGCTGAAGCTAGTGGAAAGATGTGAATCTATCATAAAATACAAATGGGAAAAGGAGGGTAGAGTTGTGATTAGGGCCAAAGGAATGCCGAAGATACAGGGTTTGGTGCCAGATGGACTTGGGTGGGTGAGTATTGATCTATATATGCATCTATCTTTTTTGAGTCTCGCTACATTTCAGGCTGGCCTGGAACCATTACAAAGGTCAGTTACCCTGGAAACTATGCTTCTCCTGCCCCAGCCTCTTAAATGCTAGTATTACAGATGTGAACCAGCATACCTACCTCCACACCTGCATTTCAACCCAAACCTCTGTATACAAGCAAAGTGTCTTGTGTATATTACCACACCTTATGTTCCATTGTCTCTAAAATGGGTAATTTAACAACCCTAGGTGACCAAAATTAAAGGAATATTCTACCCAAAATGTTAATGGTCTTGAAAATTTTCTCAATGATGTTCAGCAATCCAAGTACACAGAGAGAGGGGGGGGGGAGGACTGGACCTTGGGAGGTGGAAAGGGCAAAAAGTTGAACAAGAAAGAACTCAGAATCAACTTCGAGGACAATGCTATATTTGCTGAATGTAGAGTCTGAGAAATCAAATATAATTCTCAGATAAGGAACCGAACATGACAATCAAATATGATATGTCAGCATAGAAGAAAAGAGCTGGAGACAGGGTCAGAGGTTGCAGAATGGCTGTAGACAAGATCAAAGCTGTGGTCAGAGAGGAAACTCTAACATACAATCCTGACAGCAGGGATCCAAATGATAACAACCCCAAATGCTGCTGACTCAAGGGACAATCAAACTGAAACATTTATATCATCAATACAATTTGGGCTAGTTTGGATTTCATTTTGTGGGTTTATTTCTTTTCAGATGGGATCCCACTGTGTTAACCACACTGGTATTTAAATTCAGGACTCAACTGATCTGCCTCAGACTCTTGAGCAGCTGGTACTACAGACTCACCTTGCTTCGTCCCTTTGATTGTTTTATTTTTAAGAAATAAAAGATAGCCCAGTTTCTGATGGCAGGAAGAACATTAGCATACAGTAAGAACCAACATTCTGGCCCACAGTTCTAGACATTGCTATAGGGAGGGCAGAGAGTCAAAGCTCCAGACATCTGGGGCACTGCTTCTACTCAGGAAGCAGAACAATGTATGCATGTCACTGTACAGCTTGCCTTCTGCATCCACACATTCCAAGACCCCAACCAAGGATAAAGGGGCCAACAACTTGGTTTTGAGGTGGAGCCCATTTAGTAATGCCGGGCCTTGGGTTGAAACAATAGCAGCAAATCATGAATGGGCAGCTTAGTCTGCTGTGGAGAACATGAAGTTATCATTTCATGACATTTTAGTGTATAGTTCAGTACATTTCTACTGCTGCTTGGCTATGACCATGGTTGTGGCTAGCAGTAGGTCACTGTTATAGACAATTTCCATGGTGCATACACTACTTCATCTCATCTTCCAACTCCCAGCAGTTTTTACAGGTAAGCAATGGGGAACCTTGGGAGGGTGACTGACCTGAGATAGCACAGCCGACAGTCAATCAAGGTTAGAACTTAGGTCTTATTTCAAACTCTAAGCTCTTTCTACCCAATGTTGCTTTAGTGTCAGGAAAACAACCCCCCTACATCCTCCCCCCCCCAAAAAAAAACCCTGAAGAAAACTTTTGTACCATTTCTCTTGACCATGCTTTACAAATCTTATATCATTTTCTCTGACTTTACTAGGAGATTTTTTTTTTTTTTTTTTTTTTTTTTTGGGTCTCTTTATGTAGTTCTGGCTGTCTTGGACCTCAACCTGTAGACCAGGATGGCCTTGAATGTTGAAATTATAGGTGTGTACCATCACACCTAGTTTACTAGGTGATATTTTAAGTGACTTAAATACCTTTGTTGGTTCCTAACCTATAAAACGAGCAATGGTACACTACAAGAGATTTACTTTTGTTATATTTACCCTTACAGAGAGAATGAGACAGGATACACTGCCTTTTCTATTCATTATTAGATGAAGTTAAAATTCTTTTAGTGTGTTAAAAATTGCTATTTCTCTTTATGTTAATATGTTCTTCATAATTTATGTTGCCATGGTGATAGTTCTGGAAGCTCAATTAAAAAAGGACAAAACACTAAACTAGGGGGCTGAAGAGATGGCTCAGAGGTTAAGAGCACTGGCTGCTCTTCCAGAAGACCAGGGTTCAATTCTCAGCACCCACATGGCAACTCACAATTGTAACTCTAGGTCCAGTGGATCTGACACCAATGCACATAAAATAAAGTTAAATAAATTAAAAAAAAAACCCACAAAACTAGTAACTACTCTACTTAAGACATGCTTTCAAAATGATTGCTCATAAATGTTTTATCTTGAGAGGCCACACTAGTACCTAGTACTCCAAGTAAGCCCCACCCCACAGACTGCCAACACTTCCTCAGAGCCTGCCCAGCCTGCACCCAACAGCTCCCTTTCTCCTTAACATCATATCCCAGCCCACAACTGGTATCAGAAGATGGAAAGATCCCCCATGCTCATGAATTAGTAGGGTTAACATAGTGAAAACAGCTACCTTATGAAAAGCAATCTACAGATCAATGCAAATGCCATCAAAATTCTTTATAGATCATGAGAGGAAATTTCTCAACTTCATATGAGAAACCAAAAAACCCAGGATAGCTGAAACAATCCTGTACAATTAAAGAACATCCAGAGGCATCACCATCCCTGATTTAGAATTGTACAATAGAGATATAGTTACAAAAATTGCATGGCATAGGCATAAAAACAGTTTGATAATGAAATTGACTGGCAAAAAGACAGGTTGATCCATGGAATCGATTGACAAACAAAATCAAAAACCAGACAGGTACAGGTTGAGCAATGGAACTGAATTGACAACCCAGAAGAAAATCCACAGAGATATGGACACCTAATTTTTGTTTTGTTTTTCATAAAGAAGTCAGAGATACACAATTGGAAAAAGAAAGCATCTTCAGCATGGTCTAATGGATGTCAGCATGTAGAGGAATACAAATTGATTAATAACTAGCATCCTGCATAAAGCTCAAGTCCACATGGATTAAAGACCTCAACATAAAGCAGACACACTGAGCCTGATAGAAGAGGAAGTGGGAGTAGCCTTGAATTCATTTGCACAAGAGACAACCTCCTGAACAGAACACCAATAGCACAGGCACTAAGAACATCAACACATCCGACCTCATCAAATTAAGAAGCTTCTGTAAGGCAAAGGAAACAGTCAACAGGACAAAATGGCAGTCCACAGTCCAACAGAGAGCCAGGCAAACCTTGCAGAAGAGGGCAAGGAAATATTGTAGGAGCCAGAAGGGAGGAGAACTACTCAGCACAATCAACTAAGCAGGGCTCACAGGGGATCACAGACACTTAAAGTGACGATTACAGACCATGTATGGGTCTGAGTTAGATCCTCTGCATATGTTATAATTGTACTTTTATGGGACTTGATGTGTCAGTGGGACTCCTAACAGTGGGAGTGTGTCTGGGGGGGGGGCTGTCTCTGGTCCTTTTGCCCACTCTTGGGACCCTTTTCCTCCTACTGGGTTGCCTTGTTCAGCCTTGATGTGACAGTTTGTGACTTGTTAGCCATGTTCAGTTGATGTCCCTGAGAGGCCTGCTCTTGTTTAAAGAGGTACGGAAGAGGTGTGGATTTTGTAGAGACAGAGGAGGGGGAGGGGCTGGGAGGAGTAGAGAGAGAAGAAACTGCAGTCAGGATGTAATATATGAGAGAATACGATTAAAAATAGAAATGATTTATTTTCACTAAAGTATGTTAGATGATTATATAATTATTTTCATATTTTAGTTTTCTGAGACATGATTGAGCCTCAAACTCATAAGGCAGTAGAAAATTACCTTCAATTCCTGATCCTCCTGCCGAACGGTTGAAATGTTGGGATCACAGGTGCAGGTCACTGCACCTGGCTCTAGACTAGTTCTTAACATTCACAATGCTGTGACCCTTTAATACAATTCCTCATGCTGTGGTGACCCCACAATGATAAAAATATTTTCATTGCTACTTGATAACTGTAATTTTCCCACTGTTTTAAATCATAATGTAAATATGTGACATGCAGAATATTTGATATATGACTACTGTGAAAGGGTTGTTTGACCCCCACATACGGATATGCTCATATCTGTATGTGTTATATAGTGTGGAAAGTGTGTATTACATATGAATCAATGCAGCTGGTAACCTACAGTCCTCTCTGTGGTGGGAGGATTCAAGCCTTCTCAGACATAATGAAATCTTTTCAGGAAGCCTTTATTCTGCTTGCTGAGCACAGAGGCGGCTGCTCAGGAAGAGGTTATAAAAGTTGCTCTGCAGAGGTTTTTGGCTTCCGCCCCTGAGATTATGCATGTTTATTGCAGAGAACTGATATGTAAAAATCCCCATCTCCAGGCCACATGATGTGTTTCATTCGCTCTGTCAGCATTAACCATTCACTCAAATTTGATATTTAAAAACAATATTTGTCCTTTCCTTTTAGATTTTTAACTCATAATTCTAGAGACTTCTGTCTCCTAAGCTCCAGACTCTACTTGTGTAGAACCACTCTGGATTTATAAATCCAAGCATAGACTAACTAGGAGCACACTGTTTTGGCATCAGAACTGTATGTGGCCTGTTTCCGGGCTCCAGCCAGGCGAGCAATGTCAAGTCACAATGTGAGACACATCATGGATTATGAGCCACATAGCTTTATCTCGTGTTTGTCCCTGGCAGACTTATCAGATGTCTGTGAGAACCACTGCTCCCTAAGGTTTGAGAACATATTTTAATTTTAGATATCTTTCACTATGATTAATGACTTCCTAATTCTAATACAATAATCAGATTAGTAAAATTATTGAGGCACAAAGCTAAGGGATTATATAATAAACAAATTTATCCTAGTATTCACAGTAATGTGTGAGATATCAAACTGGGTCAAACTTATTACTCTGTTTCCCATTGGCATTTAAGACCATCACATGTCAGGGTTCAAACACATTAGACTACCCCTGGCTTTTCTTCTCATTCAAACTTTGTTCCAGTCTTCTATCAGCCTTTATCTTTACAAATAAAAGCATTCAGATTCATCTACATTCCTGAATCAGACAGAGCGGGTAACAAGGCAGCTCAAGTCTGTCTGGTTTCATTCTGATTTGGGACGAATATAAATGCAGAATTCTACTTTCCCAAGTGAGGAACTGCAGTCTAGTACAAAAAATATGGTTTTGTGGTTCTAAAACTAAAAACCTAGAGTGAATGAAACAGTGCTCTTCAAACCACTGGTGACCAACAGGACAGACATGTAACCATAAAAGTGCTAGAAAACAACTAGACACTTAGTGACTGTTTTAAAGCTATATGCACATATTAGATTACAATGTAAGATTTAAATTTAAAAGTTTATATTAATTGCATGATATATTAATCATGTGAATGGGTTTCAAATTTATATTTTAAATTGACTGTTAAATCACTATAGTGAAATTTATGTTTATTATTTAAAATAAAAATCTGTATTAAACACTAGGGACAGCTTTTCTAAAATGCAGTAACACAACAGTGACCTCTAGTGGATTCATTAAATTACAACATAGCCACATGTAGATTGGGAAGACAGGACATGGCTGTAACACCTATGAGTGCTGGACACATTAGAAGCTCTGGTTAGATGACAGGCAACGGGAAGATTTATGTTTAGACCAACCCTTCACTAATGTCTACAAATCACACTGAGGACAGTGGGTAGAAGCCTGGCCTCATTCAGTGTCTACCATTAGCTTATGGAATATGCTCCATTTTTACAAGGTGGCTTAACAAAGGAACTAGATTGACTCTACAGATCTTTAAAGCTTTTGAGATTCCTTGTTTTTTAATTCATCTTGTAGACCAACACCAGATCAAGGTCTGCTCAAAAGATCTTGTGTACTGGGTATATTCGTTGAGCCCTTGATTAACACCTAGAAGGTCCTGGCTCAACCCCCATAGTGCAGACACCTGACACTCCCTCATACCTAAAAATGCACCAAACTCTACCTGGCCCTTCTTCTTACTGTGATCTTCTCTTTATCTGTGATATACAGTACTGCTCTCTCCATGATGCCTAAAACCAAGACCTTTCATACACTATATTCTTTTCCTATGTGGCTAGAAAATTATTGACAGGTGACTACATTGGGAAAAGGGGTGATCCATGCCCCAGGCAAGGAGGAGTAACATGGTGTGAGATTTTTTATTGTGCTATTCAGAATGATTTGTACTTTAAAATTTATGAATTACTTAGGGAGCCGTCCATCTAATATTTTCAAATTATAGTTATGTTGGTAACTGAGAAAATGGAAAGTGAAACGATGGCCTAGAAAGTGTCACTGTGGTTAGCCAATCCTGAGTTTTTCTCTTTTGTTTACAGTTTCTCATTAAGTAATGTCATAAATTTATATTACATACTCAGTAAAGTTATTAGATATGGTTCCACTCAAGTTTTTATTCTAGTATTGTAATGACCCTTAAATTCACAGGTTGAGATTCACGGTGCACATGAGCATGCATGCGCATGTGTGTCCTGCCAGGCACTGAGTGATTAGTGTGTATTCTAAAGTAAGCGTATTTGTTTAGATTAGGGGAATAATCTTCTCATCTTTCTTCCTCCACTAAAATGTAAGAAAAATAAGATGAATCTCAGTAACTACAAACATAGATCAAGGATTCAAGTTATGAAGAAAAGCAGACATCGTAAACAAAGAGGGGTGAGACTTAGGAAAAGGTCATCTAAGAGCTAGTAACTATGTCTGGAAAACCTGTCTGGTGAATGACTTCCTTTTCCCTTCTTCCCTCTCTTCCTTTGAGACTGTGTCTCTTGTGGACCAGGCTGGCCTGGGGTTTATTATGTAGATAAGGATGTCCCTGAGCTCTGATCATCTTCCCCTCAGGAGTTTGGGGATTCCAGGTAGGCACAATCATGTCCAGCTTGGTAAGTGGTTTTGAAGTAGATATAAGGATTCTACAGAAGACTGAATTTAACAAGCAGAGATGTTGGAAATAAAAGACAAAGGTAACTTAAGCCAACTGGTGTAATTCAATGGGGAATGGAACACGCTGCTGGTGTTGGATCACCTCAATACAGCAGTTCAGTGACAGAAAAGGTAAAGAACAAGTGACAAGATGAAGAGTGCCAGTGTCCCATTTACCTTGGAACCTGCTGCATTTCAATGCCCTGAACGAGAAAGTGGTGAGATGACCAATTTAGTCTTTATCACACGAAGTTTAAGGCAATACGGTGGTAGGTAGGCTTTGCATAGGAATGATTACAGAGAAATATGCCATCAAAGGTCTGTCTCTGCTGCCAATGAGCTAGTGGAATTTAGAGTGGTATCCCTTCTTTACTGGAACAGAATTTAAGGTTTTGCCTGCTTGTCTTAGAGTAAAGCTCTGTTCCCTTCATCTCTTTACACTTAAGTCACTGAATTTACTTAGCATCCATCTTCACTGTCTGACCACAAACAACAAGGTTTATGCCAACTCTTCAAGCATGCATCATTCAGGAGGATATTAATGCCACTAAGCCTTTGTCTGGAGTTTCTATTCAATTTAGTTGGATAATTATGACAATTGTTGCTTTTACCAATAACTATCTTTAAATTCTGCATCAGTAAAATACTGTGAGTGTTTTAATTTTCCAAAGCAAAAAGCCCTGTGATGATCACATACTTTTTAGCAAAAAGGTCCTTTTTTACTGGCTTCTTTAAAATCAGGATACTGCAGTTACTGTAATAAAGCCTGTTATCTCGGCAACAAAGTGAGTTAGTTTCCCAAGAGCTATTATCTACTGGAAAAGTTACTATTTTAATTCAGTCACAGTCACCCTGGGCAAAGCAAGGGCCACAATGCAAGTTCCAGTTTTGTGATTAAAATTACAACATCAGAGAAAAACATTTGCATGTAAGGTTTACCATTTAAAAACACTTAATAACTATGCTTAAGATAGAGTTATTTTTATTAAGATAGAGCTGTGTAGATGGTGACCCTCTACTGACAATGAAGCCTGCTCTTGCCAGAAAGGTTACTTGACCACTAGAACAAACAAGACAAAGGTTTAATTACCTTTCTTCCTCTCGAACCCATACCGGAGTTTTGGGAATTTGTGTTTCAAAAAATTTGGATGCTCTGTAACAAAAGTTGCTGCAGAAAGACTGAAAAGGAACACTTAAAATTAGAACATTACTTTTCTATTTTGAAACATAACCTACACACAGAAAACATGTATGTGAAGATCAAAGAATAAAGCAAACCTCAAAGGCTTTTATCACACAAGGCTGAGAGAGTACATGACAGTAACTTTAATGACTTTATTTGCCCTTACTAACTACATCACCTTCTTCGTTCCCTGGGGTAAACACCATCAGATATGCTCTGCTCACCATTCCTTTTGGTCATCAGCTATCACCTTATCACCAAAAACACCTATCTGATTGTCCTATATCCTATCCACTATCCAGCACCCATCTGCTTATCCCTGTAAACATGCAGCTCTGCCATTTGTGAGCTGTATCTAAATGGGGTTATGGTTATGACTAGTGCTCATGTCTTATTTCTTTTTGTTCAAAACCTCATTTGTAAGGTTGACCCAGGTTCTCGTGAGGTTTACGTTTTCACTATACATCATTACATTCTGGAGCTGGGACACAACAGAGGCAGAGCATCTGCCTGGGCCTGCAAGGCCACAGAGAACAAATGTGTCCCACGCTGGTACTTACTCTTTACTTATGAACAATGGAACTGTTGATGACCTTTTGCTACCACTTAAATACTATAAATTTTAATATGTATATATTTTTTGATATGGGGGTCTCACTTTGTTTCTCAAGCTGGCCCAAAACTCACTATGAGGCTCAGGGTGGCTTTGCATTGGTAGCACTACTACTTTCTTGGCCTCTCAAGTGCTGGGATTTCAGGGTAAGACACCACAAGCGCCGTAATAAAAAACCATTTTTAAGACTATATTTAATACTTTCTCTTTTTACTTATTTAAATTAATAAATTTGAGTGTAGGCACATAAGCCACAGCATGCATGCAGAGGTCAGGACATCTCAGGGAAGTCAATTCTCTCTTTTCCACCCTTACAGACAGAATCAGCTCTTTGGCCCTTTGTTTTTTGAGAGGGCTTCTTCATATAGTGTAAGCTAACTTCAAATTTCCTATGTTGTTGAGGATGCTTTCTGACCCTCTTACCTGTGCATTTTGAGTCCTAGAATTCAGGCATATACCTGGCTCACTAATTTCCTCACTTTGTGTATACATACACATGCATGCATGTATACATACACACACACAAATATGAATGGTATATATGTGTCTCTGCGTATGCTTGGGTCTGCATGTGCACACATGTGTACACTCACTTGTACAGGTTAGAGGCTGACAGTGGCACATTCCCTAATCACTCATTACCTTTGTTTTGAGACAAGGTCTCTCACTGAATTTTGAGCTTGCCACTTTTGGCTCAGCTGGAGCCATTGGATCTGTCTCCAATCCCCAGTACTAGGGGTTTTGAACACATGGCACTTAAACTCCTGAGCCATCTCTCTGGTCCACTTTTTAAAATGGTACAAGCAAGATTTGCTAACTTAATCCTTTTTTTTTTTTTTTTTTTTTTGAGACAGTGTTTTGCTGTAAAACCCAGCTGGCTTCAAACTCTCAATTCTCTTGTCTTAGCCTCCTAGGTGGTAGGACTGTAGGCAATGTCATCTGCTCTTTTACTTATCACCACTTTTCAGTGCACAGTTCAGTGATGTTAAGTTCACGCTGTGTACAGTTCTCTTCAATATCTGTTTTTGGAATTCTTGTCAGCATACAAAGCTGAAATTCTGTATCCATGAAACAATAACTTTTTATTCCTTCCTTCTTTGACAAGTGCCATTCTACTATAAACATGGTAACTTTAAGAACCTTGTATAAATAGATTATACAATATCTGTCCTTTAGTGTTGGTTTAATTCACTTAATAATGTTTTCAAAGTTCCTATGTCACTTACCTTCTTTTTAAAATCAGAATATTATTCTACTATAGGCCCATACTATATTTTATAGTTATGAATATTTTTATACACTCATGGCCAAGGAATTTCTTCAAGACATATAACAAAGAACAAAAAGACTTGGTCACAAAGGTGTGAAATGTTTCTAGGCATGCAGCATTAACCTGCCTCTCTGGCATGTAGGAGGCTCTGCTTCTGAGTCCCAGCCTGCCCACTTCGTGGTGCAGAACAGATTCCAAAGCCGGCTCTCAAAATGGCTGTAACAATAATTATTCCCACTGGCTCCTTTGTGAGTTTTACAACCAGCTCACTGTGTTCAGACTAGCCATTTCTCCAACCACTAAAGAAAATGAGCATGTTTTCATGCATTCGCTAACCATTTACTCTTAGTGTATAAATGTCTCCATTAGTTTGGCTTCCTTTTTTCTTAGACTTTGTGTTCTGGCCATGGATTTATAGGAAATCTAACCACACTTTTCACTTCTTTTCTCTCTCTCCCCCCCCCCCTTTTCCCTTTCTCCCTTCCTTCCTCCCCCTCTCCCTCTTCCTGTTTTTCAAGACAGGGTTTCTTTGCAGAAAGAATTCACTCTGTAGACCAAGCTAGCTTGAATTCAGAGATGCCCCTGCCTCTGCCTCCTCAGTGCTGGAATTAGTCATGTGCCAGTATACCTGGCTTTGTTTCCTCATTATTTTTTTAATGAACAAAAGTTCTATATTTTAAAAAGTTTGTCAGCATGTAAAATAATAAATTAAATTAAAAAAAAAAAAAAAAAGCTTTGACTCCAAAATTTAAGTTGAAGGACAAGTTACTGGGGAAAAGGATTTCTATTTTTGTTTCCACAGAAAATGAAAAGATGTGGATTCCTTCCAGACTAATGTGGTTTGATCACGCCAGACCGCCTGAAACAGAGTACAAGGTGATCCTACATTCAAAACAGCTGGACAAAACAGCCCTACAGACTACAGCCAGGATCTCTGAATCTTCTTCGAATCCCCCATGACAGCGCCCCTTACCAGCAGGAAGTAGTTTGGAAAGAACGACGCCCAAATTCCCAAATATTGTGTATAAATGTTTGTTTTCATTTAATTGGACTTTGTTATATAAATAAAATAAAATAATAAAAAAAAGTTTGTCAGCTTTTCATACTTTTCTAATTTTCTCTCCGAGTTTAAATTCTCCCATATGGTCTCTTTTCTGTACACAGATCTCTCCACCCACTTTGTATATGGTCTGGATGAGTCAGATCTCACATTTTCCATTTGGACAATGGACTGTGGCACCACCAGCTACTGAAAGACCCTTCTTTTCTCCACTCACCCACAATACTCCTGTCACATCTATCAAGGGTTCATATATGTGATGAATCACCCCTGGCTCATCCTTCTTATCCTGGTATACTTGCCTGTACTTACAGCAATGTGCACTTTAAGTTTTCAAGTGTTCAGATCTTTTTTGAAGAAGGGAGGTAGCCCAGAGAAGCCCCAAACTTGCTGGGAAGACTATGGACTCCAGACTCTTCCTGCCTTCATCATACCCAGCTTCAAGTCTTAGTTAAAGTTCAAGCAAGAAATGTTCTTAGTACCTTAGTCTTAAATACAATCTGTTAATGTAGTTATTTTCTAACAGATAAATTTTAAAGTAAAACTTAAAGTTCTATTTAGCATCATTTAAAAAATTAACTGCTGCATCAAACAGCTTTTGACCTTACCTTTCTTTCAGTAATATCATAGACTTTATTGGTTTTAGTAGAAATTTTATACTTCTGTTTCAGGATCTAAAGAAAAAATAAAGTATAATTCACTAAAGAATTTAAGTAAGGAACACAAGCTTTATGTCATATACAATGAAGTCATCTATAGTTAATACTTTTGGCTAATCTAAGTTATTAGCTCATGACCTCAGGCTTTATTTCCCATTCTTTCTACAACACATTTTGTAAAAAAACTAATAAACAGGCTTAGAAGAGTACTTACAACTCCTAGCTTCTTCTGACATAAAGGATAGCCACAGAGTTTGATGATGGACCGCTCATCCACGACGTCACTATAGTGAGCCGGTGTGATGAACATCCCCTGGAGTGAAACGAAAAGGCATTTCCCAACAGGTTAGTAAAACCCACTTCACATTTGTGAAGGCAGAAATAGAGGTACACATGAAGGAAAAGTACTTCAGTAAAAGTTTCACATACAGTAATTCAAGAGCAAAGGTATTTAAAAATTTTTGGGCAGACAAGATGGCTCAGAGGGTAAAGGTTTCTGTTGCCAAACAAGACAACATGAGTTTCTCCTCTGGGACCCACGATGGCAGGACAGAATTGAATCCACATGCATGCTGTGGCAAATGTGGGTTGTGGTATAAGTGCCCACCCCACAAGTAATAAAATAAAATAAACTTAACTATATATATTACATGTAACTACTAATTCATTTTAAAGTCATTATAAAGCAAGAAATATTACGATAATTGATAATTTTAAAATGTAAACCATACATTATGTATCTAAATAAAATTTAAAGATTTCAATAGTGCAAGGAAGTTTCACTTTGCATAAACTGAAATATGGTAGATTTGGGGACTGGAGAGATAGCTCAGTGGTTAGGAATGCTTGCTGCTCTCCTAGAGAACTTGAGTTTGGTTCCTAACCACCCACGGAACTGCTAATAACTCCAGCTCCAGAGGAACTGGTGCCCTCTTTTGGACTCTACAGGTAACTGAACACAGGTGGCATGCATTCACACATACTTATGCACACATTAAAAAAAAAAAAAAAAGATGGAGTTGGAGAGACAGCTTAGTGGTTTAGAGTATTTGCTGTCCTTGCAGAGGTCCTGAATTCAGCCCCTGGCACCAACGTTGGACAGATGACAAACATCTATAACTGCAGTTCCAAGGGATCTGACGACCATTTCTGGACCCTGGGCACTCAGTGCACATACATGAATATATATACACAAAGACACTCATACACATCAATAAATCTTTAATAGATTATTTTAAATATGGCAATTGTCAACTCAATACATACACATTCCTTTAGGAATTCCTCTGTGATGTTCTCTTCTAAAAGCTGCTCAACAATGTGCACAGCTTTCTTCTCAAACTCCACCTTCCTTTGCACTGCTGCTTCTAATTCTGCTCGTCTGAAATTTTAATGAGGAAGCTTAGTTCACTTAAAAGAGTTCTCCTACATCCAATACTCCATGTTTTAAAAGACAACACTAACCTAACTTACTATTTTGTCAAAAAAATTTATAGTTTTTAACTCTGCCACTTCTGATCCAATACCTTCCAAAGAGTAAGCAAACTATTCATTACAGTGTGTATATGCAAGCTGGCCATGAGGATTACTTCTAGGCTCAGAGCACAAGGAAGCACTTCCACACAACTATAGAAAAGGAGGCTGGCATGGTGATCCATGTCCACAATCATAGCACTTGGAAGGCGGGAAGGGTGAGAGTTCAAGGCTAAGGTGGACTAGCAGAACAACCTGTATTTTAAAAATACACAGAAAACACAGAATTTTTTTTTCTTTCAGTATATAGTTTTGCCATACGTATTTGGCTTTCTGCACCCCACCATGGGGTCAGAAATCAATAGACTGAAGAATGAAAAGGTGACTTGACTTCTGTTTTTCTCACACACAGAAATTTTTATAAAGAGTTGAGGTTGTGATAACTCAGTTCAACAGAGCAGTTATGTCTGGAAGAAAGGCACTCACTCACTTGCTTCATTACATAGTCTTGCTAGATGACTGTGCTGACATGCAGTTGAGGAAGTTTATCTGAGTGAGCATAGGGATCCTGTAGGCAACCCTGCCCATAAGCAGCACTTCCCAAACTGCTGCACTGCAGGGTTGTGTGAGATGTTTTAAGACACTGTGTCCAGAATGTCATGAGTGTCCTGGTGATACCACCAGGGCTGTCACCAGCGCTTGCCCCTCTCCCACATGGGGACAAGGGAGCAGTCTCAAGTGTTCTTCCTGCTTTCATTAGCTTGAGACTTTACACTCATAACACTGCCTAGAGCAGTATGCCCACAACTTAGATTTTTTTTGCCAACAATTCACCTTTTGAAATACATTAAAATGGGATTGAAACTGAACACCTATTTTTTTTTTCCATACCAATTCGTCAAGACCATTTCACTGTTATTTCGAGATAATAGGGATGGAATTCAGGGCCTTGTATGTGCTAAGCAAGCACTCTACCACTGAGCTCCATCACTAACTCCATAAAGACCACTTTTGCATCAAAGAAATACAAAAGATATAAACACAGATTCTTTATATTAAATATGAAAAGCTTCATGGAAGGTTTTCTCATTTTGCACCCATCAATAAAAGTCATTATCAACTTGATGGCTCAAATTATCAGCCACACTGACCCAAGCCATTGTCTTCCTGACAGATTCCTACAGCTGCTTCCCATGGGTACTGTCTCAGAGTTGTTCATTCTGCCACAAAGGATGGCAACCAATATGGCTGTGCTGGCAGTTTTATGTCAACTTAACACAAACTGCAGTCACCTGAGAGGAGGGAACCTCAATTAAGAAAATGACTCTATAAGATTGGGCTGCAGGAAAACCTGTAGGGCATTTTGTAAATTAGTGATTGATGGGGGAAGAGTCTAGCCCATTGCTGATAATGCTACCCCTAGGTTTATGGTCCTAGGTTGTATAAGAAAGCAGGTTGAGCCAGGCGTTGGTGGTGAATGCCTTTAGTCCCAGTACTAGGGAGGCAGAGGCAGGTGGAGCTCTGTGAGTTCAAGGCCAGCCTGGTCTACAGGTCGAGATCTAGGACAGGCTCCAAAACAATGCAGAAAAACCCTGTCTCAAAAAAACACAAACAAACAAATGAAAAGAAAGAAAGCAGGTTGAGAAAGCCATAGGGAGCAAACCATGGGGAATAAGCCAGTAAGCAGCACCTTCCTTGGCCTCTCCACCAGCTCCTGCCTCAGGGTTCTTGCCCTGTTGGAGTTCCTGTCCTGACTTCCTTCAATAATAAACAGTGATGTGGAAATGAAGCCAAATAAACCCTTTCCTCCCAAGTTGCTTTTGGTCATGGTGTTTCATCACAGCCATAGTAACCCTGACTAAGACAGTGGTGTATGTAGCAGTTCTCAAACATTTTGGTCTTGGATTCTTAAAACTAGAACTTTTGCTCATATAGATAATATCTATCAGCATTTACTACATTCAAATTAAAATAATTTATTCACTTGACAATACCAAGCTTCTCACATGTTAACTTTTAAATGCATTCTATTAAATGAGAGAACTTATCTATATTTTTGCACATATCTCAAATGCCTGTCTTTTAGCTGGATTGAATGTGAAAGTATTTCACGTTAGACTAAATCAAGAGGGTCAGCCATGTGTTATCAATCGCCATTTGATTATCTTACGAATTATTTTGTCATCCTAAGTAGTCTGTTCCCAATACATTTTAGCTGGAGCTGGAAGTGTAGCTCAGTGGTAAAGTCGTGGCCTAGGATGCATAGTCTTAATGCAGCTCCACAGGAAATGCTTTCCAGAACAGTCTTCAAATCCGGCTAGCATCTCCAATCCTCCGTACCTCACCCTAAACTAAACCTTACATCCAAGCACTGCCTTCAAGTTTGCTGTTCGGCACTCAGACAAACCAAATTTCTCACTGTGACACCCTGGGTATTGTGTGAGCAGAATTCTGCATCCTTCCTTCCATCTTGGGATGCCATACACCACCCTCCTTCAGGATTTTTGTACAGATTGTCATCCCTAGCTGAACTTTTCTCATCTCTACTGTCTGCTTTATACCTACTATCTTAAAAGTTTTAGACAAGCCCTGCCTTGAAAAATCACAGGTCACCCCCCCTGCCAATCTAAATCATTACTCCTTCCTCATATCGTCTTTTTCTTTGTAGCACTTAACTGCAGTTGGTGATAACATTCATTTGTGTTAGTTTAACTGATATCTCTCAGTTCCGGTCAGCTAACCCTAATACAGGTTATCTTATATTTGGAAAATAGTTTGAAAGAAGAATTAGTGAATTTTGAAGTGTTGAGTCATGGAGAATTTAATCTCTCCATTGAGATCTTCGAGATCTTTTGTGACATGAGAGATCCTGACTTTTTAGAAGCCCCAAACAGTAGAGGGTGGTTTTGGTTTGTTTTTAAATCCACACTTAAGGTTACAAAGGAGACAAAGGGTTCCAGCGAGTCTGACATATACAACAGTAAGCATGTATGTGAAAAGACAGGAAAGGAATGCGCGGTTAATTCAGGGATGGCGTTCCCACAGCTTTCTTAAGGTGTTCCCAATGTTTTCTAACAGCCTGAGCCTCCAGGCTTTTCTTAAAACTGGAGGATGTAATGCTTGTGAGAACTAATAGTTCTTCCTATGTCTTCTCATAAGTATGCTTCTCAGTACAGAGTTCAATTCCCAAATAGCAAGACCAGAAAATAAAACCAAACAAATCTGATCCAATTAATGAGATAAAAGGAAAGTGAAATGCAGTTATCCAAGTGGCTACCTTCTGGAAGCATCTTCTGGTTTGAGGGCCCTTGTCTGTTTAATACCTACAATTGAAGAGATAACCGTTAAAGTGCAAACACACACTTGATGTAGCAGTCTTACCCAAATAACACATTGTGGACAGCTTTTCCTTTTCTCTCACACATTTTATTTCCAACTCCAACTTGTAAAAAGGGGTAGACAGGAAGGAAATTCTGTTGTTTCTCTAAATTAACTACATTTCAATTTTACTTGACTAAAATCCCTTTGGGGGCTGGCTGTGTGTGTGTGTGTGTGTGTGTGTGTGTGTGTGTGTGTGTCGTATCAGTTTTAATCAACTTACTTCTTTAAAAAACAAAACCCTAAACCTTTAGGACAGACATTTGGGGGCTGGCTGTGTGTGTGTGTGTGTGTGTGTCGTATCAGTTTTAATCAACTTACTTCTTTAAAAAACAAAACCCTAAACGACAGACATTTCTCGGTCTCCCAAATGCTAGACAGCTTGCCTAAAAAGAGGTGATACCTCAGAGATCCAGTACCGAGGCAGTCCAAAAAGGAGGTCCAGTCAAGGGTTCAAAGCAGCCGAACACCACCTGTCTTGGCCCCTTGTTCCCTGGGGGTTCCCAGCATAGCCCACGCAGGGGAAGATCCCGAAAACATCCGCGCAAGACTGAGGGCTCATTCCCCAAAGGAACCGGGGCAGCGCTGGGAAGCCACCCTCCTCCCGGAGTTCTCCCTCCCCCGGCAGCCTGGGCAAGCACCCCTCGCGCGCAGTACTCAAGCCAGGGTCTCAGGGTCCACACCTCGTACCCGCTCGTACCTGCAGCGTCTCGGTAGGTGCCGGAAACCTGGGCACTCGGGCCCAGAGAGTAAGGGACAGCAGAGTCAGCCATGGGGAACGCCATCAGAAGTCAAGGAGCCGGGTTGCGTCACGGCTGCGCGGCTCCGCCTCCCACGCGACATCCGGATCATGCTGGGGGCGGGCCCAGGGAAGGCGGGGCGAGCGCCGGAGGGGGCGGGGCCACGAGTGCGGCCTGCGCTGCCGGAGGTGGAGAACGCGCGGTCTGGCGGGTAGGTGGGCGAGCTGGGCCGGGGTTGTCCGGGCTCGCTGGTCAGGACTTGGGCAGCACGCGGCTCGCCTGCTAGGCCCCTCGAGGTGTGGGAGGCGGGACGCTCTGCCCAGCAGGAACAGGGAGCCAGGGAGCAATGGCTCCCCCTCGGCTCAGCCCTCGGGCGCGGTAGGGTGTGATCTTGCTGTCCAAGCCTGGCGGGGTGGAGTGGGGGACACGATTCCAGCCCCCCGGCCGCACGGTGTGCTGGGCACCACCCGTGGCCTTGTCTTGGGATGATGAGGTGATCTCACTGACTAGGATTGTGTCCTTTGGGGAGGGAGGGCAGGTCCTGTGGGCAATCGGGTGGAGGGCACTAGAATCTTCAACTTATCTGGGTGACTTAATTGTGTTGGATTTCAGTATTTATCAATGAGACATTAAAAAAATTACCTGATGATTAGAATTTTTATGCCAGGTCTACCGGTTATTTTTGTTATGGGGTTGGTTTTTTTTTTTTTTTCCCCATGAAAGGAATACTTTCTTCTTTCCTAAAAAGGTTCTTCTAGGAAGTTCTCACTAGGGTTCTTTTTCTTTTTTATTCTCTTTTCATTCTTTAGGCAACATAGTAGGGGCTTTAAAAATGTTTTAGTAGGCTATCACACTAGCGTTCAGTAATAGCATTTACACTATAAAACTTTATATTGTGTTTATTGTGTTTTCTAATAATCCAGAAGGAAACAATTTATGAAACAATATGCATAGTGTCACACAACTAACTGTGTTTTGTATTCATTTCAGCATCAAAACTAGGTCAAGTAATTAGGAATGGCTGTGGAGGAGCTTCAGTGCATAATAAAAAGATGTGTAAGTAATTCTCTAAAACCACTTTTAAAATATGGCAAGGGCATAGATTATCTTTAATTACTTTGTGCTCACTCATATTATTTACCTTATATATAATCCTAGCATTTTTGTTTTGTTTTTTTACTTGTAAATAAATAGCATAAGATCAGGAAAGTAGATTGGATGTGTGTCTGTGTGTCTGTCTGTGTCCTTTAATCCCAGTACTTAGGAGACAAAGGCAGGAAGATCTCTGTGAGTTTGAGGCTGGCCTGATCTATACAGTGATTTCCAGGGCTACACAGAAAGACCCTGTCTCAAAAAAAGGGGGCACAAGGGGGGCATCTAGATAGCTCTCAGTGGTTAAGAGCAGTTGTTGCTCTTGCAGAGGGCCTGGGTTCATTTCCCATCACTCAGGCCCACTTCTAGCCTCCATGGGCACTAGGCACATGATTACCTATAGATAAACACTCATACATGTAAAATAAAAAGAAATCCTAAATTGTCTTTGCACTTGAAAAAACGTTTTATTTTTAATTAGAGCTGTAGTTACAGGTGGTTGTGAGCCGCCTGACCTGGGTGCTGGGAATTGAACTCAGGTCATTTGTAAGAGCAGTACATGCTCTTATCCATCAAGCCATTTCTCTAGACCCAATAGCCTGTAATTTTAGACCTATGATTGTTTTCATAGGTTTCTTTTATACAGTAGGTCCTAGATGATTCATTGAGCTGTACTGATTGATGCTTACAACCAGGATTCAGAGGCTGGGATCTAAAGTTCCCAGGTCAGCTTAAGCTGCAATGACTGCCTGTCTCAAAAGCCAAAATAAACAAAGGCAATCATTAAAATATTTATTAGGATAATTCTAATTTTCATTATGCATTCTTGTGCACTTTCTCTAGAATTTAAGATTTCCATTTTTTCCTAGAGAGACAAAATCAGAAAGTCATCCATACTGAATCTATATTTGCATTTGTACCTTTTTTTTTTTTTTTTTTTTTTTTTTAAACAGCAAATCCTAGAGGAGCATGATTTTAAAGAAGAGGATTTTGGCCTTTTCCAGCTAGCAGGCCAAAGATGCATCGACGACGGGCATGTAGACCAGCTGCTGGAAATTATTCAAGATGAAAAAAACAAGGTAAATACAACCTTTCTATCTACTTTTCAGTCTTTATTTGGGAAGGGAATGCGGCACTATTGTTACTACTCATTTATCCTCTTAGCTACTGCTGTGATGAGACACCATGACCAAGGCAACTAGGAAAGGCAAGAGTTCACTGGAGCTGAATCACACCTGAGAACGGATAGCCTGGTCATCCAGGCTGGGTGCCTCAAGAGTAGTCCCACAGTGTCTGTCCCTGCTGGTCCTAGGTCACAATGAAAGCTTAGAAACTCTGGTTCTGTTAGGAAGGAAGCAGCAGTAGCAGCTGTTAACCTCATGCCAGAGGAGGGAAAGGCCAGAGAGCAAAAGGTGATACCTTCCTTTTGTCCTTTCCATCTGTGCTGTTCCCACACCAATCTAAGCACTTAGGATACACCTTTATGTGAGGCTCCCTGTTGATATTAAAATCAACTGTAAAATAATTTTATAGTCCTCAATACAATCAGTGTTTTGGGGTTTTGTTTTTGAGACAGAGTCTTTAGCTCATGCTATCCTGGTGCTCTTAGACTCACTGTGTTTTTTGTTGTTTGTGCTGTGTGTGTGTGTGTGTGTGTGTGTGTGTGTTTGTATGTATGTATGTACATGTTTGTGTGAGTGCATGTGCAGGCATGTCAAGGTCAGAAGTCAACACTGAGTGCTTCCTCCATCACTTCCCATCTTTTGAAACAAGGTCTCTCACTGAACCTGGAGCTCATAGGTTCATTTAGGTTGGGTTGCTACCAAACTCCAGGGTCTGCCTGTCTCTGCCTCCCCAGTGCTTGAATTACCAGTGCATGCTGGTGTGCCTCGCTTTTTGTGTGGGTTCTGGGGATCTGAACTCAGCAGCCCATCTTAGCTGAGAATACACCTGTCAAGGTGAATGGTAGCATTGAGGCAGAGGAGGGAAGAGAGCATGATACACTCATGACTAGGTGGTTTATTTTTAGTGTGTTTCTAAATAGCTAATGGGCTAGATTTAAAGATAGTGAGGCTTAGGCTTAGTGTCTTGAAAATCTCCTTTGTACTCTTTAATCTGGTAATACAACAATACTGAACACTGATTACAACTTGATTTTCTTTCCAGGTGACAGTTTCAGGTCTGTTTACTACTGATCTGTCTGTGTTAGTATTTTTAAAAGGCAGATGAAGATGAACTTGTCTTAAGACTCTGTAATGCAGACTTTAACACCTACTTTTGTCCTGGCCAGGGCTGCTGTCTTGTGCATGTGGGATACTCAGCAGCAGCCATGGCCTCTAACTGTTATACCAATAGCACCTTCTCTGCCAACATCAATCAGAAGTCTTTACACTTTGCCAAGTATCCCCTGGGGACTTAGGAGCAAAACTGCCCCAGGGGAGAGCAATTGGAATGTGAACAAAGCATGGGCTAGAATTGGAGAGATGTAAGCTGTGGCTTTGCCACAGTCTCATGTAAGGTGGGGACAGTTGTGCTGCTTGGTAGTGAAGCATTGCAGAAGATACATCAGGGTTAGATCTTGGAAGGCAGAGGCAGGCAGATCTCTGAGTTTGATGCCTGCCTGGTTTTTAGGTCTTTCCTTATACTGACTTATTCTCTCCCCTCCCTAACAAAGACCATGAGATATTTAATGCTATAAGTTCCAAAAGATATCATTCTATAGTGCCTGGTAACCTTGTAATTGATATTTATAAAATGTTTAGCTAAAATCCTTGGGCTAGGCAAGATGGCTAATGGGTAAATTTACTTGTCACCAAGTGAAGTGAGCTGAATTTGATCTCTGAGACCCACATGGTACAAAGATTAACAACCTCCAACTTGTTCTCTGACCTCCACACACCGGCTATTGCATATGGGCAAACACATAAACACACTAAGTAAATATTTAATTAGTTCTTTAACTCAGACAAATACATTGTTACTCTTAAGAATCTGGGCTAATTAGCATTAAGAAGATTACTTAAAGGAAAATAGAGCCATGCAAAGAGAAAGAAACACCTAGTTAAAAAAAAAAAAAGGATAGCATGCAGGAGCTAAAGCTGTTGATTTTGTTTTTAAGCTTGAGGATAATTGAATTAGAGTTCAAGAGAAAACTTCTCTGGGCCAGGCAAACTGTAATCTCAGCAGCTGTCCAAGGAGAACAGAAAAGAAACAAAAGCCTAGGCTTAAGTTAAGCTGGCATAGAGGGCAGCCACGTGGTAGCAGGCAGCCATGTGGCAAGAAGTGGGACTGTAGAGAAAGCAAGGAAGCCCACAGTACCTGAAATTGTACCCATGGGTTCTGGTCCAGTCTGAAAGAGACAGAAGAAAGAAGAATGAAGATACTAAAGTCCATGGAGGACTGTCCTGGGGCCGGGGATTCTGGGAATGTAAAGTCGGATGTCATTAAGGAAATAATTATCCTGGCTGTGTAGGAGCCAAATTTTAAAAAGTGAATTTATCAGTAAGTTATGGTGAAATAAGAATATAGTAATTTAAAAAAAAAAAAAAAACTTAGTTACTACTTTATAACATGAATTCTTGAATATTAAAAGTCAAGCTATACCAAAAAATAGAGGAAACTGACAATAAATCTTCAGAAGAAGGATAATTTGCTATATTTAAAAGTTAGCAGACATCAGGGCTGGAGAGATGGTTCAGCAGTAAAGAGTACTGCCTACTCTTCCAAAGGACCCAGGTTCAATTCCCAGCACCTGCATGGCAGCTCAAAACTGTCTGTAACTCCAGTTCCAGGGGATCTGACACCTTCGCACCAATTCACATAAAAATAAAGTTAAATAAATTTTTTAAAAAGTTAACAGACATCATCTAACCTGTATTGTATACCTACTTTGTTCACCACCTTGGTCACAAGACCTGGTTTGTTACTTTGTAACAGGTCCTGTGCTTGCTGCTGACATGATATACAGT